TGTATGCGTGTGACTGCGCGCGAGCGTGTGCGTGTCCGTGTACACGTTTATTTTTCCTTTTTTCAATGGATGGTCCCTCTGTGTGTGTGTATATGTGTGTGTGTGTGTGACTGTGCGCGAGTGTGTGCGTGTCCGCGTACACGTTTATTTATTGGTCAAGGGGGCTTAAATGAGCTTGTTCAATGCTCGAGAGTGATCTTTGCCAAAACAGCAATGGAAGTGTGTTTGTGCTTGTGTCCTCATCACTGCAAGGCAGTTGGCGCAAGATGACAGGCATTTTTTTTTTTTTTTAGCTCGTGGTTTTGTGTCTGTTTCCCCAGCTTTGGACGGCATGGTGGCGAGGGTACCGTGTCCGGAGGGTGAGTCACTCTCTCCACTTAGTTACACCGCTTTGTGTTTTTGTTTGGATCCTGAACGTGTCTGAAATTATAAAAAAGTGTCCCTCCTCTTTCCTCTGAAAGGTTTCATGTCAGCCCGCATGTTTTCAGGATGACACAAGCAACCTCTTCCAACTTCACAAATCCACTTTGGGGTTCTGCAGTCCAGCAGGCAAAACATGTCTGCAACAAATTGTGGAATGGAAAAGCAACCTTCGTGCCATGGAGGCGGGAATGTAATTATACGTGACTGCTCCCCCACATCTTCAACCACCACCTGGCATGATGTCTGCCTTCTTCATCGCCCACCTGGTAAGCAGCCCGTGACGCCAGACTCCCCCTCGCCCTGCAAGCCTTCCGACGAGTCTGCTCTCCAGGCCTCGGCCGCAGCATGAGGAGGAGGTGAGGAGGGTGGATGGAGGCATCAGGAGGTATGAGGGAGTGCGGTTTGTTGCTTTTGATTCGATGATCAGATGCACTACTGACGCCAGGTGGCGGTGGGCGGCCAGTTTCTTGACTCTGGCCTCTCTCCAAAGGCTTGAGTTGGAGATACTGTACAGATCTGCAGGGTAGATTTTCTTACTTTTACCCAATCGGGTTGATTATTTTGACCCAGCAAGTTGTGTGGAGATTGGATTTGGGCTGAAGCCACTCGCCATTTTGGTCACAGTAAATTTAATGTCACATTCTTTGATGTGCCGGGTATAAATGACTTAGTATTGGCCGTAATCAGCAGCTTGAAGCAAGCACGGCTCGCCTCTCTTTTGGGAAAAGTGTCCAACCGAGACAGTGAGAATAGTGACTAAGGAACACTCGAAATGTGTTTAAAGCAGGTAGGAGAGAGTCATTTTTTGCTTTCGCACAGATTTTCACCTATCGCAGGTGGGACTGGAATCTTCCCTCTGAGCTTTAGAGGCTTCACTGTCTGAGTTAGTACAGTGCTTTCCTGGTATGCAGCCAGCCTGCCTAAATGCTTGCCGGCCCACCAATTTCAATTTCATCCCTATAAAAGCGCCGACGTTAAAGCTCTACTCCTGCTCGGTTCCTATATTGTTGAATTTTCTATGTATGCCAAAGCCGTAGCAGTGGAACACTTTGAAGGCCGTCATAAATCCGTGTGGAAGTGAATCCAAACGTGCAGGCCTCAAGTTGAAGTGTGTGGTCCCATTTTTCCAAAAGACGAGCAGGCTCTGGTGACTGGGTCCAGCTTTAAAAGAGAGCGTCCGGGTTTGAAATTGGACAACAACGAGGAGCGTGGCGGCGAGTTGAGAGGACCCGAGGCACGGGGCTGCGCTCCACATAAAATAAATCCACACCACTTTTATGGGCTTCATCACAGTAGCGATCTAAATCTGGGTTAACAAGCGCAGCTTACCACTAAGAGCCCAGGGCACCACAGAAGAGGTGGAAAAAAAAAAAGTACTCTTTCTTGAAATTCATTTCCCATAAGCCATCTGGGCCCGTTTCCTTTGAAGTGGCTTTCTTCGACTTTGGACAGGAAGTCTGCAGCTTAGAGCGTTGCCAACCTCAAGACGGAGAGAAGAAGAAGAGAGGTAAAGCGTACCTGCATTGTGATGCCGCGAGCAAGTGATAATCCACACATAAATAGAAAGTGGGGAAAATGCAAACACAACGTGCAGAATAATATGCGCTTAAGCCTTATTTGGACTCGCTTTGTGCGCGACTTGTCCTATTCTGCGCGGTGACGAGAGCAACGAGGGGTAGTCGAGTCAGGCACGGCGCCAAAATGCAAATACTGCCAAATCAATGACACTAAAGCCCAATGTGCCACTTTGCACCCGAGCCCGCTGAATTAACACCGTTATCATCAACAAAACATTATTTTACGACGAGCGTCGACAGATGGTTAAGAGCATTAGCGCGCGAGCTGCCAAAGGGCGCCGCTCGCCCCTTGTTCGACGCGATAGAATTCACAGGTGAGCCAAGGCGCCAACGTGCCCTCGGCATATGGCCCAGTAAATATTGACTGATATATTAATTACTCTTTGCATAATCTAATAATTAATCCCGCACATTAGAGTTTCACCTTTCCGCAGCGCTACATCCCGGCTAAAAGCGCCAATCTCTCTCGGTATACGCTTGCCAAGGTTACAGGCGGGAGCACGGGGGCCTTCCCTGACTGTCAATCCATGACTATGCAGGGGATCGCTGTACTATTTTATGTCCGTAGTTCTTCTCAGTGACTCAAGTTTGCAATGGCTAACCCATGAAACTTGTAAGGAATTTTGTTTGCTATCCGTGGAAGAACTTGTTTTGTTTGTCATGATACCAGATGGCCAAGGAAACGCTTTCGCGGTCAACTTTTTCGACCAAGAAGACTTTTGCTGACAAATGTCATCATTATAACCCCAAAAACACGAAGTGAACTCGTGTCAGTGTGGAGTCAGGAATGCAACTGTGAGGCCAGAGGGGGGGGGAGGCACACCGAGGAGACGAAAAATGGATGAAATATGCTTTTTGTAATTTGGATGAACTGCCACGCTACACTTAAGTAAATACTCCTGATTACAATTTTCTCTCTTTTTTTTTTTCCTGCGTGATACTGACAGCATCTGGGCCTCATCTGAGCATCTGTGTGCAACTTGAGAAACTGACCTGAACCTCAGCAGCAGAGCAAAAGAGAAGCACACAAAGCCTCAAATAACCTCATTTGGATTCATTTACTGCAATGTCGCGTACTTGAAGTACAGGATGTAATATTAGCATATGGACCGGCCACTTCATGAGTTACACCTGCACTTTTGAATGATCAACTGATGTTCTTTCCATGACCTTTCAAAGACCAACAGGCGCACGTTTCTACGAGAACCTGCGCAATTGCGGTGGGAACGCAGGCAGTTCTCGGGCCAGTTTCAAACGCGCCGAGGACACTGTGCCTGCATGTCCATTCAAGCGTGCAGTTTTCCAGTTTCAAGATCCCAACCGCTTTGTCTTGATTTCACACATGAACAAGAAACCCGCCAATAAACTTTGGCAGAAACGGGTCAAATTTGATGCAGAACAGACTCGGCGTACACAAACTTGGCAGTACCTGCAAAAAAAAAAAAAGAATGACACTTCAAAAGATTTTCATTTTGGGTTACTTTAGGAAGTCATCAAATAAAGTTGAAATTAAGGCCGACCGTCACTTAAAAGAATCGCATTATTTCCCGCTACGTCTTCGGGCACTGCTCAGCTCAGCTCTTGCGTGGTACATTCATGTTCCACGCGAGTGTACCTAATGAAGTGGCCTGCGAATATGCATTGTACTGGACTGCGCTTGCTTGCATCTTGTTCTGGGATACATCATGGGCGCACTATATTTGCATGCTGCATATTGGATTGTATCAAGAGATGCCAGTAGGCTCGCTCCACAGAAACTTGGATCCGAGTCAAAATGGGCTTGCCGATAAAACACACACACACACACACACACACGCACGCACGCACGCACGCACACTTGGGAGAGACATGGAGGAGAGGGGGGGATGGAGAGGTTGGAGCACGCTGCCCTGAGTGGGCGTGGAGGAGTAGGAGGGAGGATGCGCACCATGTCACACATCAAACTCCTCACAGGCCACAGGAGTTCACGTGTGTAGTCGAAGGATCCAACAAGTGAGCATGTAAGAGAAGGAGAAGGCCGGATGATGAAAAACAGCGAGAACCACACACTGTCAGCCTTTTTTTTTTTTTTTTTTATAGCTTCAACATCTTCTTTCTTGTTGCCGTTTCAAGACAAGCTGTCAGGAAGCTTGTGCAAATATTGAGCAACACTCCCGGCAACAGTTGGATGAGCAGAGCGGGCGCTCCATCAACAGAAACCCGCTGTGTATATTGTTCTTCTGTGATTGCAGGAGCATTCCCCGCTAATTGCTCTTGTTCCTCATTGCGGGCCAACTGCTGACACTGACAACATCGGAGATGTGAACGCGAAGGCAGACAATTTAATCCTGCACAGGACTGGAACAATGAGAGGAAGTATGGAAAGGCCTTTAGTCCATTTCCTTTAGCTTTAGGTCGATGTGTTTGCTACCCTCTTTGTCCTCACCAGTAAGACCACTCAGTGCACTTGTAGAAGTCAGACACACAAGTCAGACGACTGCGGTACCAGCAAATTTTATTTTATTTTTTTGGGGGGGTGGGGTCACCGTGTGAGATTTGCACATTAAAAGAGATTGGTAAAAAAGTCTTTTTTGTGTGTCATCTTAACAACGGAGCCACATTTGGTACAATGCTGCCATCTACTGGTTCTTCAGAAAAGTGCACATAGATGATTTTCAGGAACTGCAATACACTGATTCTGTTATCCCAAAATACTTGGTCATGAATGCACGACCTACTTCCACCAACTGAGATAAGAAATTACTCGTGCGCAGCTGCACAACCATGACAAATAACGTGCCACAACCACGTACTGTAATATGTTTTCAACCATTTTCGTGAAATTCTTCCGACAAACGCTTGCCAGTTTAAATCTCCGATGTGAGCAACAGAAGATGACGCATTACCTGACATTCATTTGCACATCCGGGATTTATTTCACTTATCACAAAACAAAAAAAAAAAAAGTCCTCAAAATGCAGACTGTATAAACTGTACACAAAAGCAAGGCACTACAGTGTAGTTCTTTTAAAAAATACATTACATGATCTCAAACCATCTGTTGTTAGTCATTAATTAAACAAGGCATCATAATACAAGCTGCATTATTTTTGATGGCGTGGCAAAATGTTTTACAAAGGATTACTGGTACCAAAAAACAAAACAAAACACGATTACACATTGTTTTCTATCTCCGTAAAATTTTAATATGCTTAGTTTTGTCCTACTTGGACATAAATATAAATTATTTGCACAAAGGAGTCAAACAAATGAAACAAGAAGAGATATAAATGCTACATAATATGTACATGCATGCACACTGTAAAAACCGCCCTCTCAACCACACGGGCGCCATTTTAGTTGACAAACACACACAGAAGGGCAAGAACAAAAACAAGAAGCTGGCACACCTCTCATCTTCAGCTTGTCTCCATCGTCTCCGTTTAGAGGGTCGACTCAGGAGAGGCGGCTCCTCCATTATACATAACCGCGGCATCTACTGACTGCATTTAGAAAAGCCCTTTGGTTTTCTTCAAGTTGACCTGCTTCCACGCCGGCATACTGCCGTACTCCTCCCTCGTCATCTCCAAGCCTTTCTGTGGAGAAACAATCGCACAAAAATCAGCATCAAAACGAACGGGACCCCCTCACAGGAAGCCAAGAGAAGTCACATGCATCTCCCAACTTTTTGTGAGCAGTGTATGTCCGAGTCAGTTTGGTGTCCACGCCAGCTGCCCGATGAGGAGGAGTTAACATGTTAAACAAAAATGGATGTTTTAGTTCTTGGGGAGAAAAAAAAAAAAAAGTTGAGTGAGGATGCTTCATCCATGCTGATCTCTGACCACTCACCTTTGCACAAGCCCCCACGCCCTGGAGAGCGGAATGAACAACAGATACATTAAGAAAGGCTCAGCGGATGGGCCAAGATGGAGGCAAAAGATAAGACGACTGATGAGGGGGAACTAAACATTGAATCGTGAGATTGAAGGGACACACAGGAACGAAACAACACCAAAACTCCACACATCGCAACATTCAAGTTCAAACTTGAGGTGACTGATAATTTGCTCCCATTGGAAATAATGTTCTTTGAAATCATCCGTTTCAAGGTAAAAACGATCACCATTCGTCCAGACATTCTAGGTTATAATTAAAACACTAAACATAACAGTCGAAATAAGTTAACAGTTAATAGTAGTGCTGGCCCATTTATTGATATTTATCATTTGTAGTGAACTCCCAAATTCTCTGTTCATCACTTTTAAACCTTTGAGGTCGGAAACCTGTCCTCTGTTATTTGCTGAAAAACTCAACTAGTCGCTGTACTAAGGCCTCAGTCATGTCTAATCTAAGTATTTTATGTGATCTTGAAGCCCAAGAACTACGTTGAAATGAATGGAGGAGCATCACCTCGTGAGGCCATAGCCTCGTCTAACTTTAAAGAATGTTTTGGAAGTGCTTACATAGGCATGCCGCTGTGAAAGGTGAGACTAGTTCATATGACAGTTGTTCAAGCGTTTCTTAACTACCTGAAAGTCCTCATCCGAGAGGTAGACTTCCAGGCGCAGGGGGTCAACGCCCTCAGGCAGCGGCCGGGCCAGGAGATCCTCCAGAGGGTATGCGGTCTGACATAGTCTGGCTAAGACATCTTCCACCAGAATAATCTGGTTACACACCTCGGCCTCCTGACAATACAGACGCACACGTTTCAGTGCCAAAAGCTAAAAGCACCAGGAAAGTCGACCGGTGGCGAATAAAATGGAATTAGGAACATCAATAGCGATAATACTTTCCACATGGGCTGACCTGCAATTTGGATCTGTTCTGTACAATAGTGGAGTGCATTTGCATGTGTTTCACTGTGTTGAGCATTGCACGGGCCCGTATCAGGTTGCCGTGCGATGATGAGATAATGTCATTTCATCCACGCACCCGCTCCGTGATCTCGGCGATGTCCTCGCGGTGCTCCCAGCTGGGAAACATGTTGGTGAAGGTGAGCGGCTCCAGGCCGGCGAGGATCAGATACGCCTTCGGGGCCTTTTTGGGATTCTTTTCTAAGCAAATCGATTAAAAAAAAAAAAAAAAAAAGGGGGGGGCGGGTTATTAGCTGGTATAAAAGAGCAGCAGAAGGTGCTTCGGTACTGCTATTTATTAAAAATAGGTCATTTTATAATGTTAGTAAACAACATGCGCCAGGTTACTTCAGAGCGAAACAAGGACAAAAACTTCGAACTTGGATGTCATAAAAAGTTGTCCAGAGAAGAACTTCTGAAAGGAACTCAACCATAATCAGCGTTATTGAAGGTATATAAAACATTTGGGGTTGTGTTGCTCTTATGTAATTTAGCCAAACATTATTGCAAGCGATTTCACAGAGCACGTCTTTTCCAATAATCGCAGAGGTCAATGAATTAGCCAGTGTCCAATCGCACTGGAGAAGCGCTACCTCGGCAATACTGCAGCACAGTCTCCATTGCGCACTTCCTGTCTGAGTCCCAACGGATTCGGGCCGAGCCGGTACTTTCGCTATCCTGAGGCCACCAGCCCTGCCACAGGTACACTTCATGGTGGTTATCCACGAGGAACAGCGCTGACGGAGGGGAAACAAGACAACGACGTGTTTACAAGTCAATGTGTGATGTCACTATTTTCACTTTCATTCCAAATTCAATTTCCACCTCTATGAACCAAACGTGAAATACCTCTCAGCAGAATAAAAGCTCATTCTGAGAGCCAGGTGAAATAAAAATATGTGAACGTGTACCTGGTTGGGAGGCGGAATAAAGGTCCTCTTGCAGGAAAGGCATCGAGTTGACCTGCTGGCTGTCCCTGGCTGGGTAGAGAAACTCCACCGCTACAAATTCCCCCGAACTGCTGCTCAGCTGGTACAGACGAGGTGTGAAGTTGAACCTGCCGGGATCTGTAGGTCAGAGGTAAAAAAAAAAAAAAAAAAAAAAGCAAGGCTAAAAAAATTTAAAGGTCGAGTTGACCTGCTGGCTGTCCCTGGCTGGGTAGAGAAACTCCACCGCTACAAATTCCCCCGAACTGCTGCTCAGCTGGTACAGACGAGGGGTGAAGTTGAACCTGCCGGGATCTGTAGGTCAGAGGTAAAAAAAAAAAAAAAAAACAGTCAGGCTATACAAATTTCAAGGTTAGAAAATAATCGTGTATTATAGATGTATAATGATAAAAGGTAAACAATTCAAAAGAAAGGAGTGTTGCTGATCAAATTGGACTTGCCTGTTGCTGAATAAAAATGAAAACAAATTCAGGGATACAGAAGTTGGTACTGATGAAAATTTGCTGCATTCCCCTGACCGTTATTTCTTGTAATTAGAAGATATCATGATCACCCACCTTGCAGCATGCAGTCATACGCCTTCCTGTCTCTCCTGCCGAGGGCCTCCCAGAATCCTTGAGGTTCCGCTCCCTCGTCGCATTCTCGTATGGTCACCTTGCTACTGCTGTGGAGGCCTGCTTCCAGAGGACAACTGAGCAAAAAATAAAAAATAAACAAAGCTGTTGGAATAACTGTTGGGTAAAAAAAAAATATACATAGGTTCAATTCCTTGGTTGCAGTTCCCCTCACTGGTCTTTGATTCTGCTGGCAGCAGTGCGGGCCACCTCCCGTGTGTGCGCTTGCGACTTGCAGCCGTGCCAGAGGTAGATGAGGGACTGACTGACGCTCAGCAGGACCATGGAGACTCTGGAGCGCAGGCTGCTGCAGTGGCACGCCACCTCCACAAGGTGGCTCTCCACCTCCACTTCCCCTCGCACGCAGTACAGTCGCCAGTCATCTGGGTCGAAAGGTTGCGAATCAGGCAATAAATAGGCTGTGGAAAGCCGGTATTCTCTTGAAGGTACGAGTACCCATGAAGGGGTAGATGCCACTCGTAGAATGTCATCATGTCGCTAGTAGTACTGGTAACACACTGTAGTTAACTAGTGCAGGTTTTTGTCCCACTCGTGGCATGTATTATTTGGCCTCCAAGTATGCCAAAGTTATAAGGACAGACTGACAACATCTGCGTCGAATCAAATGAAGACATTTACTTTGTGAGGTTTCCTCCTCCTCTTCTCTCTTCCCTGCATGGACAATCATCCTTCCTTTGAAGCACTGCAGGAAACACGGGGGCTCTTTTCCCTGCTGGACTTGAATCTAGTTGAGAAAGTAAGCAGTTGTTCAACTAAAAATACAAAAATAAAGAAAATAAAGGAGATGAATCTATTTTTTTTTTTTTACTTGTGCTCCTCGCTCCTCATCCAACTCAACAGTCATGAGCGCCGACGTTCCTTTCTCGCTGACTGTGGAGTTGCGACCCTGCCAGAAGAAGTAGCAGCATTTCTCTTTGCCCGGCCCCGTCGTTTTCAGCTGCTCGGGGTTCTGTCGCTTCCAAACTAAGAGGACATGTCAGAGATACTTCAGTATTATACTGCAAATGTCGCAGGAAAACAACAACTTTCAGCGATGTGTGTGTGTGTGTCGGTCGGGTTGCAAGGAAGCGAATAAGTTTTGGATCATTTTTGTACATTCTTGGTTTGCATGACTGACCTGCGGTGCTAACCATATATTTCCACTTCACCACGTAGGTATCGCCCTCGTGGAACTGGCCGATGCTTTGACGCGGCAGGCGGCTGTAGTCGAACTCCAGGATGTGCCACACCTCCACGGCGAGCGTGCTGATCTCGTAGCAGCGCCAGTCGTCCACCTCCACCAACCCGTAGCCCCGCCCCACGTTCAAGCCGTCCACGACGGTGCACACGGGCGCCCGGTGGAGGGGCATCATGAGGGCGGCGTCGTAGGCATGGGGCTGATCTGAGGCGGGCTGATCCTTAGGAAAGAGCAGAGGAGAGTGGAGCAGACGCCACAATGACAACGCGACTTTTGACGTGGAACTTTCGGATTACCTTGTGATCCATCGTAGGGTCGTTGCTGGTTTGAGTGGGGCTGGGGGTTTTCCTGGAGTCACTCCAGTCTAAGAACTTCTCTTTGAACAACGTGGTTTCATTGTGATGAGTCAGTCTGCCAAACACTGCCCAGTCGGGACGGCCCTGGCCTTTCCTACAACAGACCAAGTTTATTGGAGCGATAGTTCTATGGCATCAAATATAAACTACAGTCACTCAAACTACATTTTCCACTTACAAAATAAATTAACTGCAATTTTAGCGCGAATGTCCGTTCACATCTTTGGCAATTGATGTGAGGTTCTTTTCTTTTATGACATGAAACATAAAAATGTAAAAATGACTAATCAGAAGTTAATAATGGCACACACTGTACTTAAAACGAGTTTGTGTGCAAATGAAAAAAGTCAAAGCACATTTATAAAAAGAACCGCATTCGTCTGTTTGCCTTAAGCGATCGCAAGTAAATGCCGTCGACGCATCAGTGTTGTTGTTGTACGACGTGCGTTTTTCCATACTTTGGAATGAGGGGGTTGCACTCTCCGGGATCGAGCGGGTTGATGTCACAGTTTGTGTAGTCAAACGTTCCGTTCCACAGGTGTTTGGCCAGCTGGAAGGCCACCTTCCTCTGAGCCAGTGTCACTTCCTTCCCATGCCAAATGTACATCTCACTCCCAAAGTCGAAAACCAGAACCTGCGCGGAAAACAGCATTCCCCCGAACCAACATAAAGGTCTGCTCTGACCTGCGACTTTGCTTCATGACTCGTACAGTAAATGTCAGACCTCCTTTGGCTTGAGTAAGGAACAGCGGGGTATCTTGGCCCAAAAATCGTCATCTGGCACCAGCTTGTTGTCCATCAGACGGTAAATACAGTTTGTCTCCACAATGGCGCCCTCGTAAAGCTCGTCTTCATCCGGCGTTCCCGCTGCTACACGTACAAAGACGAGGCACTTATGAGCGGCTGTGCGCGTCTACGACAGAGGACAGCTTTGTACTTGAACTCTTACTTACCCTGGTAACTCGCGTGGCCTCCCAGGATCTTCCAGAACTCCTTGGCAGCGTGGCTGTGAATATCGACGCCTTCCTCGATGACCCGGACATAGTCGGCACGACAACCCAGATCTCTCTTGCTTTGGATGAAGTTGCCCAACTCCGAAGCCTGAACGCACGGAAAACAGGCTCGATGAGCCAAACGGTGCAAGGGAGTAAAAATTGCAAAAAAAAAAAAATAAATAAATTTAAATGAAGCAATTAAAGCAACATGTGGTTTGGTTTAGCATTGATTATAATTAGATAAAAACTGGAAGGAAAAAAAGCAACATTGGCGAATCAAAACGTTCCACAGAATCTCCAGGTTTGTCAGCAGTATTAAAATGAAAAGCGCAAAGCTATCCTGTTGTGTCAGCAGCCGGTTTGGCCAGCTGACCCGCGGAGGGGAAATGGCTTTGTGTTTTTCTCAGCTTCCTGCAACGTCACACACCAAACTATTGAAATAAACCTTCACCCTAATTATCTTTCCCATCCTGGCAGTGTCGCAACCATCGGGCCCTCACCTTGTTCTTCTCAATGACGTTCGCAAACTCTCCGGTCCAGATGAAGCAGTGATGAGGAGTGACGAGGAGGAAACAGTCGCCGCTGTTCAGCGATGATGCTCTTGGCTCCACCAGCCTGGTCTGGATATGCCGGCGGCCTTGCGTAACAGACACATTTGATCACCAAGTCGCCAATTTGTTTATTGACCGTTTACTGAAACATTTTGTCTAAAGCTATGAACACAAGAAACAAAACGGCAACTGTCCAGACTCGGATCTTGCTCAGGAGGAAGCAGTCAAGTCGACCAGCTGACAAAGCGGCAGTCCCTTTTTTAAAGGGGGTTTAATCATTCCTGGAATATCTCCTGTGACTGCACGCATCTGTCAACAGCAAAGAACGTGACTGACCTTTGACCTGTAAGAGCATCAGTTTCTTGTAGGGCACGGCACTGTTGTTAGACATCTGCTCAGAGATGTTCACGCTGCGCAGGTTGACGTTGCTGAAGTTCTCTTTGCTAGCGAGACCGGCCAGGGCCACATCGGACAAATTGGAGTTCTTGTTCGCTGCGTTGGGAACAACACAACAAATTATAATCGTCATGTACGAGCCCCTAAAAAAATACAAACAACCTGCAGTGGTCGCATTTGGCGTAAATAGAGAACACGAGATGTATTTATTCCTGTCGGGAAATGTAAGAGGCAATTACAAGAGGGGCCACAGGGTGTCACACTCTCAAAAGAAACGTTAACAGTCCGTGTAGCTTAAAAAAAAAACGAACTGAAATTTAGAGTTCAGTGCAGTCAGAGCAGCGGGGTTGGCCGCATTTTAATCCCGCTCACTTTTCTCCGCGTTCATCCGCCTGCTCTCCAGCAGACCGACGTTAAGGCGCTGCTCCGTGTATTCGTGTCTGATGTCCTCTCTGGCAGCGAGCATCTTGAGCGGGTTCTTCGACGCCGGAACGTTACGCGTCGGGCGCACGGCTCGCTTGTGCTGCACCATGTCCGACGTCAGCCTAAGGAGAGATCAGAGACTGTAGTCGTTTTCTTGCGGGAAACTCATCGCTGATGATGGGTGTCCAACTTACGTTGGAACCTGAGGCCCGAAGATGGCGTCGAAATCGTCAGCCAGCTCCACCTTGTCGGTGATGCTCGGCGGGTCCTCCGCTTGGCGATAGAACTTGGAAAAAGTCTCATCCTCCAGGGTCATGACTTCTTTGATCTTCTTCTCTGTGACCATGACAGTGGCCTCGGGCAGCGCTGCTATTGAGGTGACAACATGAAGGGCCATTGCAATCACAAACTAGACGATCCCGTGAATTGCAAAACGAGTCCGGCTGAGGTCTGACCTTTACTATTGATCTTGCCGAGGAATGACTCCAGCTTTTCCAGTTTCCTGTCCGACTCCAGGTTCAGATCCGGCACCGCCTTGATCTCTGCACCGCAACGTGAGCACAGCTGCTATTAGAATCATAAATAAACCTGAGCCGTCCGTGTTCTATTTAGCTCGCATGCCATTTCAGAGCAGGCAGGCACTATGTCTCGCATGTTGACTTTTAACAATGAACGTCACATAAGCCATCCAAATCTACTCGCAACTGTTAGTCAAAAGAAGTCACGCACGTTCAATTCAGCGATGTTTCTCGATTCATTTTAAACGGTTGAAGGTGTTTGTACACATCTATTTATTTATTCATTCATTACAGATTTAAAAGTTGACCAAATGTCAGTAACAACAATACGATGTTCATCTGCCGACAATGAACAGCGCATCTGCCTGTCGCAGCCAACTCATGACGCCTCGAATTGCTCAAGACGTGATGAAATAAAAACAACTCCACACAATTTACGGCGCAATCACAGCAGACACGTTAGCGTTTGAAACAAAACAAAACGGCACATCGGCCAAGAGCTGAAAAAAAAAAAAAAAAGAACTAAACCTTGGACATCATCCATCTCCTCCACATCTGTTAGAGATAAATACAAAACACGGCAGAATTTAAATTGAGCTTCTCCTTGAGTGATTAATATTAGAACGATACAGTAAAAGGAAGCAAGTTGAAATGGTCAAGAGTTCATCTCTCAAACAGAAAATGATAGCGGCGTGACAAAAGTGGTGCAGTGAGGTGACAGGACGTATAAAAAGGTGGATGGAGGAGTGATGGGGGTGGGGGGAAATATATATATACTGACCATCATGTGGTTTGGAGATGGCAGGGCCGCCGTTCTTGGGTTTAGGTGACGACAATGATGATTGCAAGGGAGAGGGGGAGACCAACCCTGCAAGAAGCAAAGCAAGACTTCACGCGGTGCAGTTGGAACCGTGCTGGACTTGCGCCGAAATCTCTCCCGCTGCTTCAATTCGATTGCGCAGGGTGGCAGTCAACATTAATAAGTCGCGAGGAATGATTTAATAACTATTTGATACGTCTGAGCTGCACATTCGATGCATAAACTATTGTGCCAGTTAATCTAATCTTCTGACCTTTCTTCGCCATGCGTGCAGCCACAGTGAACTGGGTGGAATCGTTGGCCGCTCCGTGGCCTTTCGACTTCCAGGCTTCCTCTTGAGCTTCGATCTGCTCTTTCCTCTCCTGGATGGACATCTGGGCCTCAATCCTCTGCGACTCCATTGCGGCCTCTGTGATTTTCTGGTACAAGAAAGAGTTATAACCGTTCAAGCCAACCACAAATGATCCAGGAGTTATCCTTTTTTGTGAGTTTGATCACTCTCTGGAGTATTTTGTGCAAGATTTCAATTCAAAGCGGATTATTTCACAGCACACAAAACAGCCAAGCGAGCGCTTCTAACTGGGTCAATTGAATTAGCATTTTCTACACTTGACCAAAAAAAAAAGTCAAAGCAAATCTAATCAATCTCTGTGAGGAGCTTTGGAGCCTTGTGCACTTAAGACTGCCATTGGGTGAGAGAAAAGTGGGCGGAATACTTTTTTTTTTTTTTTTTTTTTTTTTAAGGGTCACCTTCCGTCTCCAGGGGTGCCTCTTATCCACCTGCATTGATCTGGACGATTTGGGGGCCTTCACAGCCAACAAAAACAGAGGAAGGGAGGAAGAAAGCAAGACGGTAAGTCAGGATTGGGAGTGAAGCTAGAACCAGGCCGAAATATTCGGAATGAGCCCGAAGCCGCAGCAGACCCGTACGGCCTTTGGGAATCATCGGTCGAGTTGCGCGGGAGATGCACAAGATGAATTTTTTGATTTTATGAGCTGAAAGCTTCTTGTCGCTTATGGTGCAGTGAAATATCTTCTTGAACCAAGGGAACAAAAAATAGATACATAACAATTTGGGTAGATATATATTTTTTTGCTTTGGCATGAACTCGAATGATGATGCAGACAAATGGAATTATATGTGCCAGGCAGTATTTGAGAAACGTCGTCACGGCTTTGGCAAAAGACAGGTAAGATGAAGCACACGTCAAGAAAATCCGTAGACGGTAAATTGGCAAACAGGAGCAGCACAAAAAGCATCGGCAACCTCAAACAGCTACTCAGAGGAATACGTCAACAGTCAAGCTAGCAAAACAAGTTGCGCGTGCAAATAGTCGATGAGTACCGTGCGTACTTGGTAAACAACAGCACTTTGCAGTCAACTGGCCTTACCCATAGTTGGTCAGACACCGCGAGATCATCGATCATCAGTTCCTCATCGCCCTAGACAAGCAGCGGCAGGAAAAGTTTTATTTAAAATATATATTTTTTCTAATTTTAAGTCAAATGCTGCTGAGGTCGGAAAATGATCACATTTATGGTCAAAGAGATGTTATGGAAGAAAAGAACAAAGGAATATAATAGCTATTTTTAAAAAACTGTCATTACTCCACCATGTTTAAAAGCTGAAGTTTTTCAGCATTTTAATGATGAACGCTACAATGTAAAAGACGCCTCTGCGGTCGGCATCGAGTTTGTCATTCATCATTTACATTGTTGGTTTTAGGATTTGATATTCACAGCGGTTAACTTATTTTTACACTTGTGTGACAGTTAAAATGTGACTATCGCCCGAAGACTAAATAGGTTTTATCTCTATTTTATCGATGATGCCTCTTCCAAAATGATGGCGAAAAAAATGTTTCAGGGCAAATTACAAGTTGTTTAGTGTCCAAGAACAGATTGGAGGTTCAATTATATTCTGTCAACATCTTGTTTTAATACTGCACAAGTTGAAAATCGCAGACCTTCACTTCGGTTTCCGTCAATGATAGCTCTCGTTACAGAGATGATAAAACATTCCAAGCGCAGTATGTCTAACCTGTGAATGCCAGAGCAAACACAGCAAAAGAAAAAAAAAAGATCAGCAAAAAATTAAAAAAAAAAGACCAGTGTGTCAGCAGAGGTGCAGGGAGGAACTGAACACACTCCGATACGGAGAACATAAACAGATGAGGTGTAGCCGTTCGAAATGAAACTAAACAGAGAGGTTTGTGTACTCGCACCTTCCAACATATGCACACACACCCTTCAAAAACCATCACCCGGCATGCCAGAATGCCAAAAAGAAAAAAAAAAAGTTGAATTTTTGTACATGCAGGAAAGATTGAAGCAAGCCTCCAATAAACAAATTCTCAATAATAAACTCTGTTGCATAAAAAGAGCCAAACGGGAAACGTCAACACTGCGAGGCATTGCGCCTCCTGCATTAATTCTGCATTCAAGTCACATGAGCAGAAAAATGCTTTTGTGACTTCAGCTGAAAAAAAAAAAAAAACCCTGAAAAATGATTTGAGCAAAGCGCCATTTTCTACTCCGGCGCTGTCATCTGGTTACCTTCTTCTTGAAGCTCTGCTCCACCTCCCACAGGTGAGCGTGCTGCTCAGCCACGGCGAGCTTCACCGCATCTTGCTTCTTGTTGATCCTGTTCCTCCAGTCGTCTTCGCCGCTCTTCTTCAGCAGAGCCACCCTACACGGGAGAGGATGCAAAAGGAGGGGAATTTGTCCCGCGGGTCATTTGAGGGAATCAGAAGTCAAGAAAATTTGAGTGGAGACAAAGCGGTCCTTTGTAGAAATCCCTCCAGTGAACCTCCCTCCACTGAATGGAGCACCATTCAACCGTACTTACGGATTAGCAATCTATTCAGTTACATTAGCTTGTTTTTTTTTTTAAATAAGTGTCAGACCACAAAAATAAAACAATGTCTGATGTTTTTTCATTCATTTATTTTCAGTATGTTTCCATTTATTATTACGGTCGTCGGTTTCAAATTATTTCAGTGTGGTCCCCCCCCCCCCTTTAAACGGACAGGAATCCTTTTTCTTGACCCTGTACAGATCCTCAGGTTAGAACGTGTCCAAAACAAACCATGGAGTTCCCCCCCAGCCCCCCCCAAAAGCCCACAGAGTGAAAGGAAATTCAGGAAACGCCAGTTTGAAGCTGCCAAAGTCACATCACAACTCAGTGCTCAGTTGGATCACAGACGAAAACAGTTTTAAAATAGAGCACTGCTTCGAAATTTCAATGCGACGAGAGTGGGAAACGAAGTTGAGCTGCAGGGAAATAAGAGATTTCATGTATTATGGATTTTTTTTTTCTTATCTTATTTCTGAGAGTCTCAAAAAAAAATAAATAAATAAAACCTCGACCTTGAGCTTCCATGTTGTTTACATTATGTCACCAGTCAATATGGATGGCAATGACTGTCTGGTGCTTGCTTTCAAGAGCGACTGTGAAAATGGGACCGAACCCAGCTTACATAATTCTTGTGAAGCAATCAATGGCAGGCTCTGATAGATGCCATTTTAGATTTCTCGTGCGGATATCGCTGCAAATGTGTGCACTGCGACTGAGTTTCTCATGACCAAACCCGCCGCGTGGTTAAAAATTGGATCCGAAAACATAAACCCGTTGCCGGTGCCAAGGTCCAGATTGAAGACGTCAACTTTTTCGGCTTCTCGTGTGAATTCCCACTGCAAGTTCGAACAAGCGAATCACTACCTCGCTTCAAAACAGTATGAAAAAAATCTGTGCAGAAATCCTTGGATAAAAACGACTCCCCAAAAGTGAAGGTTAGGAATCACAAATGCACTATAACCTTGACATCTGAACTTAATTTGACCTTCTCAAAACCTTTGAGTGCATATGTCCAATCGCTCAATGTTTCAGGAACTGAATTTCTACTTCCCACAAGCAGGCTCACCTCTGTTTGATGGACATGTGTTTGGCCGTCATGTCGCACAGGTCGTCTTGCAACGTGCCGGCTGTTAGTTCCGCGTCGTCGGGGTACGTTTCTACCTCGGCAGGCTGGCGTACGCCGCCCCTCGATGAAGCGGACGCTGCTCTGGATCTCACAAAAGTGAGCTCGGGCAGCTCTGCTGCGGACACAAACATACACAGCAATATAATCAATAATAGCTTTCGACTATGGGGTGAAATGCGCTATTGAATTTCTCTGATTGTGGAGAGCGGGGAGGATGGGGAAGGTTACAATTCAAAGCCGTTACATTCAAAGCCGTTTTGTAATATTGCCAGACTTGCATAGCTTCTGCTAAAATCAAAAGTCATCATTTAGCTGAAAAATATATCATGACCACTCAATGGGGCGACTTTGTAGCAAACTGTTACTTTTGGATGGTCACGCATAGTAAGTGTAAAGCACAAAAATGTGCAATATTTCTTTCATTTTCACACGGTACCATATTTTGAACAGGGTACACTACATAAGTAACCAGAGTGAAACCAAATTCTTTTGTCCTCACCTCCACTGAAGGTTCTGCTCCTTGGATGACTCTTTTGTTCCTGCCTCTCCAGCAACATGTCGTGGTTTGAGTCGGGCATGTTTTCATCAAACCTCCCCCTGGATAGCCACTGGTCCTCCTCTTCCTCCCTTCGCTCTCTTCCAGTGTGTGGCTGAGGCAGGGCTGCCTGCCTGACTTCTCCCTCAGGAGAGGGGAGCGCCCGCTTCCCCCCTGCCTGCTCTGTTCCTTCCTCCGCATGCTGCGACGCTCGATAAGGCCGACCGTAGTGGTCCGCGGGGTCACGGGGCCTCGGGGCGACTTCAACCGGCAACCGCGTTAAGTGGATGTCGCCTGCGTTGTCGGTGGACACCGTGCCTCCTCTCAGCGCCGAGGATGACGATGCAGGGAGGTGTTCAAACCCAGAGCCTGTCCCGTTTTGAAGCTAAAAAAGACAACAAATGTAAAAAGCGTGTTACTTGTTGACTGGAAGCTGCCGTGTAACATTTACAAACGTTGCCACATCAAATCGCAGAGAAACATGCTGACTAATGGCGGCCTGCCTGGTGCAGTGTACTTCCTGCCCGTTACAGGGTGGCCCATTGCGTTGGCGAGCCCACATCACAAAGCCATGCCAGCTACAACCTGCACGTAATACTTTAGAGTGTACAATGAGCTACGTGTCAACTGCAGTAATTAGGGATGAAACGGTTTTGCGATAATCCGAGCTAAAATTTTACACAAGTTAGCATTACCATTGACTTTGTAAAATTATAATTGCAGTTACACCCCTTGCGTTACATGGGATTCGGGATTTTTTTTTTCAACCTAGTCACCATTATCTGATGAAAAACTCACCTATTCGCAGTTACTACGTACAGGCCAAGCAATAAAAGTGTCACTTTGGCGCCACGTTGTGGTATTGTGGTGTCAAGAAACTATGTTGAAGTTCACCGAGGAGTTTTGTTTGGACAAAAGTAGTGCTTTGCCACTATCTTGTGGCATCTTGGTACCCAAGAATTATGTTGAAGGGAGATGGTGTTCCAATCGGATACAAGTAGTGCTTTGATGCCAGCTTGGAGCCTCTCTCTCTCAAACTAACCTGGCACTTATGATGAGCCAAAAGCGAGAAGCGACACCTCACATCAAAGGAGAAACACTTCGAAAACTCAAAAACAGCCTCTAACATGCCAAACAGCGGCATCTAGACAACGTGGCGGCGTAGCACAGCGCCGCCACAAACACACGGACATCTTGCTTGTCCGGTGAGTGCACATCCACAACCGCCGCCGCTTGAGCGACACAGCTCGACGACGATGATGAGGCACCACTCAGTCAGAAGCTTGGCCATGCACCGCGCACTCAGAGCGGAGTCACGCCACAAAGACAGGGCTCGCGACGTCATCCCGCGCACACAAGCCACGTGACGTGCCGACAGAAATGCGCGGTCATTTCCGAGAAGCGCCTCCTCCACGGGCGCTTTGTCTACATTTCCGCAAGCGAGGGCACGCTTACTTGGTGGACTTCTACCGGCTTCTCACAACGCTCCAGTTCATCCTGGCAGTCAAGATCTGAAGACTCCTGAGTAGAAATATGCATACGCCACAATTCTTTGTCTAACATAAAAGAAAAGGGTTTTACTGGTTTACTTTATGTGACTAACTAATGCCATGACAGCATGCTTTTTATTTTTTTTTTTTTTGTGATCTAAGATTTACATTGATTATTATGGCCGTTATCTTATTTCCTACTACCATGGGACTTTTTTTTCCCCCCGAAAGCAAACAAATGAACCATAACTGATTATGACTTCCAGAACTGGAACATTTTCACATTGGAATCATATATCGTCATTGAAGCAAAGTTCAAACATTCATTTGTTTTTTTTTTTGTTGTTTTTTTTTTTGCAAAGTAGTACTTGTTGCATACAGTTAGTGACTAATTTTAGTTATAGTGTACAAAAAATATGTCCTATTCACTACACATAAGAAGTGGCTCTGATCTTTTTTTTTTCAATTGATATAATATGGCACAATATTTTTCTCATTATTTGAGGGTGTCAGCAGAAACTGTTGGCGCCTACCTTCTCCATGTCACCAAGAGTGATGGGTTGCGTCCGATAGCGGGCGTTGCTCCGGCGCTGGCGCGTGTCCCCACTGGTGCGCGTCACTCTGGTGGGGGGCTGAGCCAGCCGGTTAAACAGCGCCATCTTCTCCGCCAGGCTGAGCGTGCAGAGGTCAGGCTCCTCATTGGCCTGCGCTTGATCCTCCATTGAGGCGACCTCCTTGCAGTTCTGAGTCTCTTGTGTTCGTTGAGCCTCTGGCGCCTGCTCCCGGGCGGTGGCGTGGTGATGCGACGACGCCTGGAGACTGCGAGGAGGATGAGAGGCCCAGGAAACATTTAGCTGTGGTCACCTCGTGCCATCGAACAAGATGCACTCTGCAGACTGTACATCAGGGCGACTTGTGTTGCTCTGTGCTGTTAATTCAACAGAGATGAAATCTGACCGTACATGCAGTGAGTCATCACCGCTACTTTAGAATCCTATCCAATCATATCAGTGACAATATATGATGCGGTAGCACGCAATTCCGAGCCATTAGTAAAGATCAACGGTGGAGTCACACGCTTGCAGTCGGGTTCGAGCGCTGGTGCGCACACACGCGTGTCCAGGATACCTGCTTGGAGGGAAGGCGCTGCAAACGAGGGTGGGGCTAGAGACGCGCGCTACAGCAGCGTGAACAGTCATAGTCTGTGGCACATGAGGGGGAGCGCTACAGTGGTCCAGGACACGGACATACAGTGTAATCCGACACACATTGACAGGAAAAAAAAAAAAAACACAGGTCAGAAACTTTGGAGAAAGAGGAATTCACAAATAATGTTGGTTTTGCATCCACACAACTTGACATTTCATTTGAAAATGTATCAACAGCTCTTACAAATGAAATGTTGGACGGCAGTTTTCGGCCAATATTTTTCTTGGTAGGCCATTTTGCCCATGAACCGAGGTACCACCATTTCCACGTTAGACTTTTCCTTGAACATCAGTGTGTACTCATGTCTTACGTGGTGGCGATGACCACCTCCTCGGTGGTGACTGGCTGAGTTCTGGATCGGTCCTGTGTCCGCCTCAGCCTGCGGTCCACTGCGGCATTCCTCGAGCGGGGTTTCCCAGAGCCGATATTTTTCTCCAGTTCCTGAAGATTGGAATCAAGAGTTGCGTGACCATCAACGAATCCAAAGGATATTTTATATGCGTGCAAAATGACACAATGAGTGAAGCGGGAACAATTAGACAACAATAATGAAAGGCTGATCACTCAGATAGCAACTGCTGTCAGAAATGTTTGGAAATTAGAGTTCAGAGTCGACCCGGAATGCTCGAGGCCAATTTCATGCAGAAGGAAGTGCTTGTTCTATTGCAGTGCGTCACACGGGTCCAAGGAATGCAGTGAAAACAAATCAATATTTCCAGGTTGTTGGTTTCAGCAGAGAGAGGCAGAGAGGTGAAACTCAGTGTTGTTGAGGAGGAGCACCTACGCCGATATTAATCGCATAAAAGTCGCCCGCATGTGCATCAAAAGTCAACGACAGAAAAGGTGACACGGGAAGAAAGTAAAGCTCACCCTGAAGAGAGAACGCTTGGCCGCGACGCTCAGCTTGGCCCGTTCGTCCAGCTTCTCTTCATCGGCTACACAGACACAAAAAAAGGGGAGGAGACCGAAAAATGTAGTCTTGTGATAGCCCATCTCAATAAAAAAGTGTTTTTTGGTTTTTTTTTTTGTGCCACAAACAGCAGATGCTCCAACTTCAGTTAACTTTTGTGAAATGTTGCAGTCCAATAAAAAGCATGCATGTCTAAACTCAGTTTGTTTGTTTTTTTGTTCCACGGTAAAAAGAAAAAAAAAAGAAAAAAAGTGCAATTTGGGTAAAACAGAAAATGCACTTGCTTTTGACTGGAATCTTAAATGCAATTTCTCTCTTTTTTTTTCGACCATTCAAGGCCAGCATCCGTTTTAGTCAAGTTGTCTTCTCCGCATAAAATACCACTTCAAGGTCACGTAAACAATTCTGGGAATTGTATTGGCAGTATAAACTTTTCTGCCCAATTTAGACACAAAAATAAATTGGGACGTCACACCTCGGTATTGAAAGGGGGCCAAGATTTGGATTTATTGGCGTTTATGGAAGAGAGGTCCTTTCTTTCTCCCGCACGTTTTTTTCTATACTGTGCTGACTCAAAGGGGAGGAGGGAGACCAACTGTCAAAAAAAAAAAAAAACACAGGTCAGAAACTTTGGAGAAAGAGGAATTCACAAATAATGTTGGTTTTGCATCCACACAACTTGACATTTCATTTGAAAATGTATCAACAGCTCTTACAAATGAAATGTTGGACGGCAGTTTTCGGCCAATATTTTTCTTGGTAGGCCATTTTGCCCATGAACCGAGGTACCACCATTTCCACGTTAGACTTTTCCTTGAACATCAGTGTGTACTCATGTCTTACGTGGTGGCGATGACCACCTCCTCGGTGGTGACTGGCTGAGTTCTGGATCGGTCCTGTGTCCGCCTCAGCCTGCGGTCCACTGCGGCATTCCTCGAGCGGGGTTTCCCAGAGCCGATATTTTTCTCCAGTTCCTGAAGATTGGAATCAAGAGTTGCGTGACCATCAACGAATCCAAAGGATATTTTATATGCGTGCAAAATGACACAATGAGTGAAGCGGGAACAATTAGACAACAATAATGAAAGGCTGATCACTCAGATAGCAACTGCTGTCAGAAATGTTTGGAAATTAGAGTTCAGAGTCGACCCGGAATGCTCGAGGCCAATTTCATGCAGAAGGAAGTGCTTGTTCTATTGCAGTGCGTCACACGGGTCCAAGGAATGCAGTGAAAACAAATCAATATTTCCAGGTTGTTGGTTTCAGCAGAGAGAGGCAGAGAGGTGAAACTCAGTGTTGTTGAGGAGGAGCACCTACGCCGATATTAATCGCATAAAAGTCGCCCGCATGTGCATCAAAAGTCAACGACAGAAAAGGTGACACGGGAAGAAAGTAAAGCTCACCCTGAAGAGAGAACGCTTGGCCGCGACGCTCAGCTTGGCCCGTTCGTCCAGCTTCTCTTCATCGGCTACACAGACACAAAAAAAGGGGAGGAGACCGAAAAATGTAGTCTTGTGATAGCCCATCTCAATAAAAAAGTGTTTTTTGGTTTTTTTTTTTGTGCCACAAACAGCAGATGCTCCAACTTCAGTTAACTTTTGTGAAATGTTGCAGTCCAATAAAAAGCATGCATGTCTAAACTCAGTTTGTTTGTTTTTTTGTTCCACGGTAAAAAGAAAAAAAAAAGAAAAAAAGTGCAATTTGGGTAAAACAGAAAATGCACTTGCTTTTGACTGGAATCTTAAATGCAATTTCTCTCTTTTTTTTTCGACCATTCAAGGCCAGCATCCGTTTTAGTCAAGTTGTCTTCTCCGCATAAAATACCACTTCAAGGTCACGTAAACAATTCTGGGAATTGTATTGGCAGTATAAACTTTTCTGCCCAATTTAGACACAAAAATAAATTGGGACGTCACACCTCGGTATTGAAAGGGGGCCAAGATTTGGATTTATTGGCGTTTATGGAAGAGAGGTCCTTTCTTTCTCCCGCACGTTTTTTTCTATACTGTGCTGACTCAAAGGGGAGGAGGGAGACCAACTGTCAATCAGGGAGAATGTTTATTGGATGATGTCAATGTCACATATACTTCAGAGTGTTTGTTCGTGCAGCCGTGCCACTCACACCTGTCTGCCCCCGCTTAAACTGACTCAACAGTGAGGCCAGCCACCGCTTTTGTGGTTTCTCTTTGCTCCCAACCATGCGCGATGCGGAGGACCGCAAGGTCATAAATCCAGTTACAAAGATTTGCAAAGCGAGGAAAAAAACCCCAACATGTATTACGGTGATTATTGTACAGCACAATAAGCCTTCGTGTCGATCCTGAAAGTCAAAGATCCCGCAGAAAGTACACCAAACACCACATGAAGCTGTGTTTAAACACGAGCTAATAGCTCAGCATTTTATATTAGCACAACTGTCACCCCAATGTCAAAGGCAACTCTACCTTTTGGCTGAAACAAATGCACTAATAGCTCTTTACCTTCATTGGAAGCCAACTCGGTGCTCACGCAGGACCTTCAAAAAAGAACAAAAAGCAAACTATCAGTCAAATCGGCAAGACGTCCGTGCAGATGAAAGCAAACGGTGACGAGCTGGTAGGAACAAAATTGAGAGCGGGCACTCTCGACACACAGGACGAGAAGCATTCTGGTGAGCGGCGGACGGTTATCGTGTGCTGAAAATGTGACAGTGAGGGTTAGAAGAAGAGCAAAGCAAAATAGGATGGCAAACGAGGCGGCATTACGGACGTCTGTTCAGCTCCGTGGTCCCGGGGAGACTGCCGACAAAGGGCAATTCATGCTTTCAGAGTATGATCACATGTAATGACCACTGCTGTGAGGCCCAATCGGGACAACCTTTGACCTTACATCATTGTTTCTGTTTGCTCATGTTAAAGGAAAGGGACTCCTACGTGGCATCTACATATTTTCTACCATGGAAAGCGGCCAGTGGCAATAATCTGGCTCACGGAGTAATGCGATTATGGACGATTATGCAAAATTACTTTTGACGAAACAGCAACAACCAAACGCTTCAATGAACAATTCCGATTTCTCCGACATGCATGATGACAGATTTGGCAGAGTTTGCCCCGCACGGCCATGCATTGCTGCATCCAAAGCGGTACCTATCGGTCTCCCGGCGCTCGGAAGTGGTGATGGGCTGAGTCCTAAACCGCTCTGATGTCTTTCTACTTTCCCCCGGATAGATATACTGAAGAGGTCTGCGGCCCCTGTCCCTCCGGCCCCCCTTCACTGCATCACTGAAAGGCCCATGCAGGAGAGGGAGCAACAGCAAAAAGTACCCAAAGGAAAGAAAATACAGCATGTGAGGAAGAGGAAAAAGAGGCGAGTAGCAACAATTTGTTCAAATGCACATTCAAAATGTCGCACACTCATGAATTAGGAATGACGTTCAGCACTTGCATGTGTTAGTTTCAAAAGTCCAAATACTGACTGGCTGCACATACAAGTTAGGGGAGCAATAAAGAGAAAGACAAATGTCAAAGCCGCGTAGTGTTAGATGAGCATCGCATGATTTAATTTTCTACATAACAGATAGTCTGCAACATCACTGAACAGTTGCTTGTGAAGCAATGAGCAGCAGTCGATGTTAGCTAACGAGCACAAGCGTGAGGGCCACAGCAGCTAGCTCGAAGATGCCCGTTTCAACCTACAGTGCGGCCGTGCGGCCGGTTGGAGGAGTGGCGGAGCTTTCCATGTAAGAATTTCTGAGCTGGGCCACAGACACACGACTGTCCTGGAGAATCTCGGCATGATTTTTCTTGATCGCTTGAGGATGCTGCATGGGGTGATGCAAGCTCCTATTGCTTTGCTCTTGATCACCGGGATCTGCTTTGGGTTGGACGTAAGATGCAGACACGCCTCTGTGGACGTAAATGAGATTTTCACGGTCTCTGGGCCTGCTGGGGGCTTCTTGGTGATGGCTGCTCTGCCCAGCGTGTCTGGAGGGCTCAACTGTTTCCCATCTCGCTCTGCCTCTGTGACCTCTTCTTGCAGGATCTTCAATCTCACTCAACGCTTTGGAGGTACTCATCTCATCTTCTCCTCTTCCTCTGCGCGGGTCCTCGGTGCTCCTCTCCCTGCGGCGGATCTCCGAGGGTAGTACTGCTTTCCTACTACGTAGGAGGCCCTCTGTCCTAACGCCGCCTGTCTCCTCACTTTCTTCATCTGGGAGCTCCTCCACTCTGGATGGAGCACCGGAGGTCATGGACAGATAACCGGGGTAACCAGCAATATCCGGTCCTGCCGGTTGCCCCGAGGGACAAAGCAGAGATTGTGCATGATGGTGAGGGTAGGAGTGGTTATGCTGGGCAATCATTGGATCCGTGTTGTATCGCGCGGCAGGCTGCTGCTGAAATTGTCGGCGGTATGTCGGAGCCTCTGCGACACTTCCCAGCTCTGGGCTCCTCTGGCGACAGTCCTCCTTCGCAAGCCTCTCCCTAACTCTGATTCTTCAGGGAGACAAAGAGCTGGTCAATATTTGCGCCAAACCTTGTAATTGACATCAAGACAGACTCTTTCAGTCTCTGGACATAAAACTCCATTGTACTGTATTCAAACTACTCATGACCATTTCCTGGTCTATTAGCACCATCTACTGTGCAGAATTGATACTGCAGTCAAGCAATGCGCTTTTCCCTGTCAAAGCGCATCACGATAATGTTTGGGACAATTTTGGAAAATCCAACAAATTATTTGGTTGCGCGATGCAATAAGTGATTGGAGATATATATATATATATATATAGATATAGATATATATATATATATATATATATATATATATATATATATAAATAAATCTACTCAAAGCTAAAAAACCCACGAAGAATTCATTAAAACTATCAGAATTAAAAGAAAAAAACTAAACTCCAAACTAAATGAAAATTAACTAAAATTAAAAATCTGAAACTATTATTACCCTGGGACTAGGACTGCAATTCCTTTTTTTTCTTCCTTTTCTTCAAGGAGCTATCACTTCAAATCTTTTTCACAAAACCTTTGGTGAAATTTTGAAACATTTCTTTAACATAATAATGAGTTTTTAAAATATCTCAATGAAAGAAATGCAAAACCTCAAGTCCACTGTATGCTGCTGCTGCCTAGTGGAGCATTAAATAATTATTTTGCCCCCAAAATGAATGGACCTTTGTTCCACGCCTCATTGCTTCGCATTCGAGCTCAGCCTTTCCAGTTTTCCCTCCCAGTGGAATTTGTCACATCCACAGAGGCTGACCAGCTGAAGCACGGATCAAAGGTCGGGGGAGCGTTCAGGCCGATCTTTGGCAAACACACATAAACAGACGCAAGGATGCACGTCCTCAGAGATGCACAAGCAACATTACAAGAAAAATAGTGTCTCATCCCGCGTCGCATCCGCGCCTGCTTCTCACGACCTGACTGCTGCTTTGACGCGGCATGTGGGCGTCCCTCAGGGAAGACTCCTATACCCGCAGACATTCTTCATGCGTAAGCTTATTTACCTCACTTCAACTCCACTTGGGCTAAAAGGAAATACTTTTCATTCAGATTACTCACATTGTTGTTGTTGTTCTTTGGGAGGGGGGGCACAAATGTGAGAAATTAGCCAGAGAAGACAATTAATCCTTTATACGGCAGTATTGTTATTTTACACACATTTTTCAAAGGTAAACATGAGATAGTAAGAACCAAAATTTGAGAGTGAATGATTTTATTTCAGATTAATTGCATACTGTTTTAATATTCAATTTGGAGGCATTAAAGTACTGCTTAAATTATAAACTGTTTATGAAGATGGGCACAATGATAGCGTAATTGCGACTGTGTCAGCCTCACGCATCTGTGTGAGTGTGTGTGCCAAGTTGTTCCAATGTATCAACAGCACTGTGCAGGGGGACTGCTGCATCTCTTTTTCTGATCAAAAGAAATTTGAATAACAAGCGTGCTGTGCTGTACACACACCACTCTGGGTGGTAAACACAGACACACACACACACACACACACACACACACACACACACACACACACACACACACACACACACACACACACACGCACACACACACACACA